CGCTTGGTTCTAGGGGTTTTGCTCCAGATTCTAAGAATGGTAGTAGTTTCGGGGTTGGACAAGGTTGTTGAGGTCGATTTAGACAAGTTTGTTCAAGTTTGTATCTGTGTTATCAAGCGCACAAAAAATCAGTGGAATCTGTGAGGTTTTTGGCTTCGTTAAAGCATAAACAAGCTCTCGATTTGGTTACCAATAACAATGCAAAGTTAGATTCAATATTTTGCAAAGGGTTAAGTTCAATATTTGGTTCGTATTTTCGTGATTACAGATTTCATCTTTTGATATCATCAGACATGCTGTAGGAGATGAAGATACCCTCCAAAAATCAATGGTTTTTTAGATAAAACAACAATTCCATGAAAAGGGTGAAAAGTGCATTTGTGTTGATGAATTTGTGCGTAAATAGGGTCATTTAATCTCGAGGAATAGAGGGATTTTTCTAAAAGCTACAGCCTTAAGCTGTGAGTGCAGAAGAATGAAATTGAGGAAGATTGTTTTGTGTTGTCAAAGGCTAGAAAGGAAGATCTTAGTTGTTCCGCTACTATAAGTTTGGTTATTAATGAGCTTGTGAAAATTATTTTGGAGTTGTTGACAACAAGGTCGGAATTGGAGTTGAAGTTGTAGGCATCAAAGCAGATTAGGAAAGCACAAACACAAATTATGAGAGCAGCCACTGTGATCTTACAAATATTTAGAAATGTTCACTAGTCTACACTGATGGAGTGAGATTGTTGCTCGACTACCTCTACAAAAACCACAAGTATGTTGAGACTTTAATTCAGCTGTTGAAGAATTCATCATTGCTTACCAACCATTTTTGTATCAAGCTAGTCACCTTCTTGCCTTTCTTTGCAGAGTCTCTACTACATCGACAATAAAAATGGTTGATCTTCTTTTGAATCCTTTAAGCAATGATAATGTGGTAGAAGCTAAAGAAGTTGCTAGTAAAGCTAGTTTGGTAGTTGTGATTATGGAGAATAATGCTAAGAAGGAAAATAATTATCATGTAGCGAAGATTGGTTGGGAATTTATGCGGCCTCACTCTAAATATTTGATTAGAGTGTTTAGTAGTCTTCAACCAAACGAAGTAGACGCTAGTGATAACTGAAGTTTGCTTTGGTATCTATGAAAAATGCATGTCTTGCATTTGCTGATAACA